CTTCCCCAAACTTGTCTGAATAAACCCAATTTAAATTCACTTATCTTATCCGAATTACCAGCTTTACTGAATGGGGTGAGGTAATACTCTCTGAGAGTAAAGATTTCAGTTTCGTAGTGAAGATCAAAACAAACAGGACACATTCCGGGAGCCGCGGTCAACGCTTTTACGTTTATCTGGAAACCTCACCGGGAGGAAAATAGCGCGCGGAAACCACGTCATGGGGCCACTCGTGCTCCAGCTGTTTCTGACTTTGTTTCACCGCTCCAACAACCCATTATGACTTCAGTAAAATTTAAATTGTTGCGCCCTTTTGACACTTGAACTCCAGCGAGGCACGCAAGTCATAGAAAGTAATTTCAATACATAAAAATTTACTCCTAAAAAAATTCCAATTTTATCCATTTAAGTAATTATAAAAAAAATTAATGCTTATTTTGTTCTTAAATGACCCGCTCAATACCTATTATTCTAAATTCAACTTGAATTATTTTTATTCTTAATGTGTTGGATAACTATATTAATCAATTTTTTTGCGAAAAAAAATTATTTTGATTTCAATTACCCAAATACTAGTTTTTTAGTTAATTGATTTATGGATTGAAAATTAATTTTTTTTGAAGCTGCCCAATCCAAGCTTTTTGCAGAAAATTTATCAAAAAATATTAAAAAATAACAAGAGAGGCCTTATAAAAAAAAATTGACAAATAAAACACATAATTTAATAAAAAATAAAAACTAAACTCTCTCTTTTTTAATAAAATTTAAATTTTGTATCTTTAAAAAATTAATATTTATTATTTAAAATTTAAATTATATAGTGATATATATAATTAAAATTAATTTTAATTAAATTATTTAAATATTTTTAATTTTATTAAAATTAATTTTAAAAAAATAATATTCAAATAAATTACGTTATAATATAATGATTATAATTAAAATTTATTATTTAATTAATTATTTTTATAATTTATAATATTTAAATAAAATTTAAACGGACACTTAAACATTTAAAATAGGATATTTTTGACAGTTAAGTTTATCGGTTAATCCTTTTTTGTTAACCAAAAAATGTCCACATGTCACTCTACCTATTCACCATCTATCCACCTCATCTTCTCTTCCATTCTCCAATTCCGCTCCGTCGTCCTCAGCCAAACCTTTTTCTTTTCAATCGCGGGTTCATTCTCCCAGCCACCACTCACGCCGTCGTCCAAGCTTTCCCTCGGTCATTGTCGGCAAACTTCCTCTCTTCTTCCTTTTTTCTCTGCCCTTCTCTTCTGGATTGTTCATTTCTTTTTCTTCTCTCACTCTTCTTAAATGTGTTCCTCCACCGCTTGGACGCAAGAGCACCGTTGTCTTAACTGACCCTGTTATCACCGGAGACGACTCTGGTCCAATTTCTGGGTCGGGTTGACGACCTATTTCGGAACTGGTGGATCTGATTCTGATGTTTGGGATTTGGGTTGGAGAGAGAGATAAAGAGATAGAGAGAGGAGCGAAGGGGAGGGTGGGGAATGTGTTGTAGAAGAGGAAGAGGATGTTGCAGGAGGAGGGTGGAGATGGAAGAAGAATGAAGAGTCAGGAAAGAAGAGAGAGAGACGGATGATTATACAAAACTGTTTCTATAAGCCAAACTTTGTTGCCTCAGATCTATTTTCCAGGCGGGTGTGCTTCACGTATGCTACTGTTGATTATTTTTAATTTGGAAAATCTGGTTAGATTTGTTGATTTGCCATGAACAATCAGAGACGGGTCTTCATATTGGTTGCTTCAAGTTTGATTTTTTATTTCAGTTTTGATTTCTTCTGTTGCTTCATGTCGTATTAGTTAGATTTGTTTCTTCAAAGTTTGCTTCATGTTGGCTCCATTAATTTTTACTGTACTTCTCTTTAAAATTAAAAATATTTTTTAAATAAAATTTTATATATTAATAAATTTCATTAAATATATTTAATAATTTTATTTTTAAAAATAAAATATAAATTTTAAAAATATTTATCATTTAATTTAAAAAGAAAAACAATATATTAAAAAATAATATATTTAATAAAATTTTAATTTATTTAAAATATTTTATATTTAAAATAATTTTTTTTAAATACTTCATAATTTAAGACGGAGGCAGTATATCTATTTTCTTCTCTGCAACATGGACTCCACTGGTTTGACTACATTCTCGAGCCTTTTCCTTTTCCATTCCGATGCGTCGAGACAGGTCTGGGATAATGATGGGATGAAGGTGATGAGATGGCAACAAGACATCAAATGAAGTTACGCGAAAAAGGTCAACAACTTTAATTTTTTCCAGACTTAGCTGTCAACGTCCACCAAATTTAAGGTCATGGGTTTAAAAAGGACTGCTTATAAAAGTTTAAGACAAAATACATCAACGCTGAGTTTGTAATACTAGATATTCTTAAAAGAATTATTTAAGAACAAAAATTACCTTTAACATAAAAAAAAAATTCCACTTCATTGATGATTACTGTTAATTATATGTTACATCTTGCTATTAATAGCTCTGAACAACTCAAATGAAGATAAACTATCAAATCTACTATATTTGATTTTAATTTATATTTGATAAAATTTATTTAAAAGATTCAACTATTTATTGAATTTAATAAAAATACATTTTAAATGTGGTTTAAATGTGTTTTTGAAAATTATCTAAACAGGCCCTAAGTATCTTTAATATCTCAATCAAACTAAAAGATATACTAAATATTTTGTTATGAGAAAAAAGATATATGCTAAATATTTTGAAATATAATTAAAACTATAAAATGATAAAGGCCTTTAAAATGAAGGCAGTAACTTTTTCTGTAAGGTTGTTGAGAATTTAGATTTATATTATGTTATTAATTCTATTTAAAAAATATATTAAGAGTCATTTTTTGTTCAATATTGATATTGTTTAATTTTACAATAAAAGAAATTTTAAGAGTCATTTTTTGTTCAATATTGATATTGTTTAATTTTACAAATAAAAGAAATTTTTATTTTGAGTGATATCAAACATAATTGTTTTATTCTATAAGCATATGATATCAAACATAATTGTTTTATTCTATAAGCATTTTGTGAGCATGTAATGCTTTTTTCACGAGGCAAGCGTGTTTTTTAAAGTGATAAACTATTTGGGTGCGATTATATGATCACTCGTGCACCGATCCCATCAAAAGTGAGAGACTATCTAGATTCATGCCAATTGTTAACTAACATCAATATAAATATTGAATTTGTGACAGATTGTGTTAACATTTTTTGACAACTGTGAATCTTAAACAATTGAATTACAACCGAGTACAGCTGATTATAAAAAAAAATTAATATAATTAAATTTTAATTATAATTAATTATATATAATATGATCATGTTCATGTTTGAATATTGTTTTTAAAAATTAATTTAAATAAAATTAAATATGTTGGAATGATTTAGTCTGAACAAATTTTAGACGTGTAAATTACTATAAAGGATGTTATTTTTAAAATTAAAAAATTTTTGTATATACTATTATTAAATTTGATCAACTTTGTTTTAATAAGTAAAACATATCATCAAACTTATATACTTGATTAATCATAGAAATTTAAATCACATTATATTGTGATATTGATAATTTAATGTATGTAAGAAAATAAATCAATTATCTAAGTTCAAGTGAATTTATATGATATTTAACATACATGATTAATTATAAAAATTATAATATTAGAAATAGAAGGATTTGAAGAGTTGGATATTTAAAAAATATAAGACATTTTTAACCTTTCGATATATAATCATTGTCTTTCTTTTTCAAAAAATACCTCTATTAATAGTGACTTGATATTTATTATATGATGTTTAATAAAGGTAAATATAAAAATATATAATTAATTTAAAAATAAATAATTATTTTTAGGGTGAGATTCGATTAAAAATATTTTATATTTTTAAATAAAATGAGTATTATAATATCAATACCATATATTGTTGTTGGAGGCTTGAGAACGAGAGTTTGAGATGGCGGAATTATAACGAGAAATGGGAGGAGGACCAGCCAAATGGATTGTGTGGATTTAGAAAGAAGTTGAGTGCACACACATGGCTACATCTGGCAAGTGAAGAGGCCAACAAAAATAATAAAAATCAAAAGCTAATCCACGTTGCTTAGCAGAGAACCAACTCGTAGGATGAAAATTATGAAATAATAGGGTGTATGGATTCTTTTCAAGCAAAACCATGGTTTAGGACATACAATCAATTATAAATGCTAATCCAAACAATTACATAACATGTTATAAATAGGGAGAATAATAGTTAGATCATAAAATATTAAATTAATAAAAATTAAATCTTTGATGAATTTTTTTACCAAATGAATTGTAAGTATCAATTTAAATAATTACATAATAAAATTTTGTTATAATCTAAAATTTATATTTAATACTTAATAATTATTTACAATTAAAAATAATGAATTTGTCGTATTGATATTTTTAACTAAATTTAAAAAAAGGGAGACTTAACTATCACTAATTCAATATTTTAAAACTGTCATTTTATTTTATAAATATAAATGATGTCACGCACAACAAATTATGATTTTATATATATATAATTGATTTTAACATGTACGGGATGTTTGGTCATTTTTAAGAAAAATCATGGTTTGTATATTCTGGAAAACATAGGATTTTATTTATAATTAATTTTAATGTGTAAAATGAATATTCAAATATATTTTTACAAAATTATGATTTTATTTAATTTTCAATTCTACTTTTCAATCATGATTAAAATTAATATTATTAATCAATTTTATAAATTAACGAGACATCTTATAACATAATTAATTATATTTAAAATTAATCATATTAATCAAAATTTTTCAACAATCAATCCTTTTTTTGTTTTGTTTCGTCTTTGGGTCAACTAATCTGATAAACGTAGTCAAGGATACGGTTTCGGATCCATAAGCTTGTGGTGTGGACCTTTGACTATTTTATCAATTACTGTATGAATTAGGATGGATATTTCTACGAAATAAAGATGGAAGCACGGTAGACAGTACTAGTGACTAGTACAAGAAGGCTAAGTCTGTCCAACTCCTGTTCCGATGATGTGGAAAAGGAGCTATTTTTCATGCGTCTGCTCGGTGAGCGTGCCGTTACATTCCATTTTCCTGCGCGCCAAACCAGCCTCCACAGCCCCCATTTTCATATGTCATTTATGTGGAAAATTGTGGCAGAGGCCTGCCTGTCATCAGAGACGACTCCATAAAGCAAATTAGGTAAATTTCAACCTCTCCTCAATTGAATTACTGGCCAAAAAAACAAAGGACTCCCCAGATAAAACCCCTCTGTTTCCTTCCTGCATTTGGCTCTCTCTCTCTGGACTTCGCAGATAAACTTATGTAGAAGATCCCAATGGCTCCTTTTACTCATCTTCTCGCTGTATGATGAAGAAGCATTTCTTCCCTCTCTTCCTTGACCACCATGGCTCTCTGGGAAGAAGCCCAAGATTTGCAGGACTCTTCGTTATTCCTCGACGCGCTCCTCTGTCAGGAGGATGGCTTCGAACAAGATTCTGCTGAGGGGAGAGTCGTGACTCCGATTCGGCCGTTAGAGATCCCTCATCTTTCCCTTTCATTTTGTTGGATAATGACTTGTTCTGGGAGGACGCCGAGCTTGTCTTCCTAATCTCTAAGGAGGGAGAAACTCGTTTAAATTCAAATAATCTTATTGCCGACGAGCCTCTACAGGTGGATAATGACTTGTTCTGGGAGGACGCCGAGCTTGTCTTCCTAATCTCTAAGGAGGGAGAAACTCGTTTAAATTCAATAATCTTATTGCCGACGAGCCTCTACAGGGAGCTCACGAGAGGCTGTGAGATGGATTTCAAGAGTCTGCGCGCGCTATGGTTTCTCTACTTTGACCATTGTTCTTGCTGTGAACTACTTCGATAGATTCGCCACCAGCCTGAAGTTTCAGAAGGATAAGCCCTGGATGACACAGCTCGCTGCGGTTGCCTGTTTAGCTCTGGCTGCCAAAGTCGAAGAGATCCGAGTCCCGCTTCTTTTGGACCTGCAAGTATGCCTAACGTTGAGACTAATGAAGTCTAGGTGTTTGTAGATTTGACATGCTTTTTGTTTCTTACAATATTAGTTCTGTTTGAAAGTGGAGTTTTCTGTTTTGATTAGGTGGAGCAAGCGAAGTACGTGTTTGAAGCGAAGACAATACAGAGAATGGAAATCCTAGTGCTATCAACTCTTAACTGGAGGATGAACCCGGTGACTCCCATCTCTTTCTTTGAACTTATTGTGAGAATGCTGGGCCTTAAGAGCCGCTTGCACTGGGAGTTCTTGTTTCGGTGCGAGCGTGTGCTTCTCTGTCTCATTATGGGTAAGCAAAGCATTACATTTCATATTCTAACAGTAGATGCTCACAACTTGGACACACACATCAAATCCAGAATCAGGAGACACGAAAACAATTAGAATATTGCTAATTCATTCAAGTTGCCTTTTTCCCCCCTTAGATTCAAGGCTTATGAATTATCGTCCATCTACATTAGCTGTTGCTATAATGATCCACGTTATTAGTGAGATTGAACCTTTAAATGCAAGGGAGCACAGAAATCAACTCATGGCTTTACTCAAACCAGTGAGGTTTGTGTCAGCTGATCTTTCAGGAACAAGTGAATGAATGTTACAAACTTATTTGAAAGTATTATGCTGTCACGAAGACATTCAAAATCTTAACCAGAAACGCAAGCGCCTGTCTAGCCCAGATGGTGTCATTGATGTGTCTTTCAGCAATGACAAGTCAAGTGACACGGGGCAAAGGCATCATCGGTCTCATTGTCACTGGAGCCACTGTTTAAGCGAAACAGGGCCCTCGAGCAGCAGATGCAATTGCCATCCATAAATCGGGTGTCTATTGATGTTCTTCACAGCCCTCGTTAGTTATTTATCTCAGTATCAGCATGGGACACGGTACCCTCTGGCACATATATGGCACTTGTGTTCTTCGGATGCCACTGTATTGTGTCGTTAGCTGTATACCTGTCTCGGCCATCATTTCCAAGTTAAAGAGATGGAGAATTAGACTCCACCTCTCTACTTTCTTATTGAGTTGGAGGTGGAATGTGGATCTGAAACTAGAGTAGAAAGATGAATTATAATTCTACCCGAGTTGTGATACTTTTCAACAAGCACTATCAAGAAATTTCCTTTATATCCTTATCAGTTATTCCCCCCGACTCTCCTTTTGTTTGTGCAGCAGAATAGTATTTGCACATGGAGATCACTATGAGATGATATGTCTTCAGTGTTGCAGTAGTAGTTGAATAAATGGAGATCTTTTAGAAGGTCAAACTAAACCCTTGTTCATGTCATTGTTTTCCCCGTGGGAGACAGTTTTTCCCCCTCATCAGTTCAATCATATAGTATTACTATTCCAAAACCCTTTTTCACATAAGAGTGAGAAACAGGTCGTCACTAGAGAGTGGAATATCATGTTATAGTAAAGATTCCGAATTTAAAAATCTGACTGATTGTGCTAATAATCTTTTTGTTTGTGCAGAATAGTATTTGCACATGGAGATCACTATGAGATGATATGTCTTCAGTGTGCAGTAGTTGAATAAATGGAGATCTTTTAGAAGGTCAAACTAAACCCTTGTTCATGTCATTGTTTTCCCCGTGGGAGACAGTTTTTCCCCCTCATCAGTTCAATCATATAGTATTACTATTCCAAAACCCTTTTTCACATAAGAGTGAGAAACAGGTCGTCACTAGAGAGTGGAATATCATGTTATAGTAAAGATTCCGAATTTAAAAATCTGACTGATTGTGCTAATAATCTCAAGTGTCTCCATTGTTGAAACTCAGTTTGCAGTTGCTTGTCTGTTTTGTTTCTAATTCGTTTATGGCTCAGTAATTGCAAATGTTTGCGGCGTAGTGGATGTCTTGGCATTAAGAAATATTTGACCCAACTGTTGTTTGAGAGTAATGGAATTTGCATGTGTTTGCTGTTATTGTCATATTGAGGTTTGACCGAAGTGAACCAAGATAATTTAACTGGCGTTGCTGCCATTGATGTCGAACTTGATCCAAAGTGCTGTTTGGTATTGTGCTGTGTTTCATCATTGCCTCTTATGATCATTTGTCAGGCTAAAGTGGATTGGTCAAAAAGTGAATTGCTTTTTGTTCCTTCTGTAGCCTGGCCTCAAATATACTTCCTTTATACAGAAGATGTGTTTTAAAACTTTTTTTATTCTTAAATATAAAAAATTGTTAGTATATTTTTTAATAAATAAATTATTATACGTTATTAAATTAAAAAAAATAAGTATTCTCATTAATTAACTTAAAAAAATTTATTTTTTATTTATAATTATTAAGGATAAAATTAAAATGTTGATGTTTTTCATTAGATAATTAATTTTTATTTATCTGTATGATTTAATTAAAAATATTTTATATAGAGAGATGTGAAGAGTAGGTGGGAAGGGATTCATGCGTCGTTATAAATCTTGAGCAGAGACCACCCCTTGTTTTTCGTTGTATGAAAAAATTTGGCACATGATATTAGGAGTTCCAATGATTCAGCGTTGAAGTCCTTGAAGATAAAGTAATGCTGTATTGCTGTATGGGCCCTTATCGAGCATTGAAATAAAATAATACTCTAGTTCTACTTACAAGGAGAGAAAGGGTATTTGTGTGGTCAATATCCTTTTTCAATTCATGTTTATCTTCATATTTTTGTTTTTATTAAATACTGGAAAAATTGTTAAATGTAGAGTATTTTATTTTAAAATATGCATATTTAATAAGATAAAATTGGAATATATTAAATTTTTAGACTATGTTAATAAAGTTATAAGGTTTTTTTTTTTGTTCTAAAAGATGTTGAATTGATTTTTAATAAGAATGGGAGGAGTAACAAGAACAATAAAAAGTTGAACAGACAAGGTAATAACAAAAGGGGGCTAACTAGGCAGCGCATGAAGGCTTTTAAAGGATTTGAGCCAATGCAGAGAATAAGGTGAAAGGCAGGACAAGATTTAAAATGTTAAAAAGGGTGCAGAGTGAGTCTAGAGTGATAGAGGTAGCTATGAGGATTCTGGGGAAAAGACGGCCTTGCAATGGGAAAAGGATTAAAATGTGGTCCTGCTTTTCGCCTCCTCACTCGCCATGGCCGTGCTTATGGTTGGCTATGGCTACGTGTAGTAGCAGTTGCATTATGTCGTCAGGCATTATGTTTTCAAAAAGTGCTTCGCGTGAGGAGGAGGCATTTTCAAAGTGACAGCAAGGCTCCAGCCTCCCAACCAATAATTCTGAGCGATATCATTACCCTGCTTCGCGGAATCAAATTTAGCACTCTGTTTTGTATTGCTTCTCTTTAATACTTGGGACTAGCACCTCCCAAATCTATGGCTACCATTGCTCCTTTAATAATTTGTCAATGCAGGGAAGCACCCAGCACGCTGCTATGTTTCATGCACATGCGCTTTTTCTTATTTGTCTTGTCATTTCCTTTGCAAATGCGAAATTCTGTGTGAGGAATGTTTTTGTTGCGGGAGTCTCAGCACAAGGGCCACCCTCGCTCCCATTAAAACACCAAGTGAACAGGGCATCTGTGGCTAACAAATGATATTGTCATGACGAAGCAATTCATGGAAATCAACATGATTAATATGAACCTTAATACAATAGTTGATTCCCCGGCCGTCAATGGGGTCCCCTTCCCCACACTTCGAGTTTATGATTGGGCCCATGCATTTTGTGAACAACTTAGTCTTCCAACTCGCTAGTGCTTCCTACTCCTTTAACAGTGAGTAATTTTATAATTTCCTCCCGAGACAATGGAACAATAAGTTAATGTCAGGGACAGAGATTAACAAGAATAATTTTTTTTTTTTGGGGGGGGGGGGACAGAGAGAGAAGAGGTCACATGTGAGGAAATAGAGGGAGGAGTAGTTGAAGTCTTGAAGAGCTGCTGTAGAAAATTGTCTGTTTCTGTTGTATCATATTGGGGTAAAAGAAGAAAAGGAAACATTACTCTCTTCTTCACATAGAAAGTCAGACACTAATAGCCTGAGATTACAAATGATACTGAACCTGAAACTTTCTACAGCCTATAAGGCCATTAGCTATTATTACTTTCTCTCAATTATATAGTGATTTAAGTGACATTTCATTTTTCTGTCCAAAAATTATTATACATTGCAAAAGTGGAAAAAATGAAATGGAAAAAAAAAGATAATAAAAGTCATTTGTACCCTAAGAAAAAATAAGGATAACCGTTACTGTTAAGTGAGACATTACATATATTGATTTCTATTCATGGTACCAAAAAGGAGTATCACCTATCAAGACAAATGAAACTGAACATTGTGACAATCTCTAAGAAGCATTAAAGTCTGTCTTCGGCTAGTACCTACCAAGAGCATTCGCATACCTAATCTTCATTGACTGTTTTTTGCATAGCCCACGTGTAACACGAGAGTGAATACTACATGACTAGAGCCTTTTAGATTTCAAAGCCACACACCAGGGATATTTTAGGTACTACACAAGCCATCAAACATCAACAATATATGTTGCTTATTAGACACTATGGTAGCAACACCCGTATCATGAACTATTGAATCATGCCTTGCCAGATATGTTACTTGATAGCCAATCAAGTCCTCATAGAGTCCTTGTCCAGAGGTGGCGCATGTAGCCTGTATGTACCTGCACCATGCAATATCACAAATGAAATCTAAAACATGCGTTTATTAATGTTAGTTCCAAAGTTCCAAATCAAAGAAGGTGTAGTTTTGGGGAGAATATTAACATATTAACTTTGTGTTATGTGTGAAATCGTAGTCTATGATGGAAGAGCAAGTGGTGGATCGGGTAAGGCAGGTTGAGCAAGTTTGAGAAATGGAAGAGGGGATTACCAACGGCGCTGGCGAGTGAGTGTAATCCAAGTTTTCTGTAATCTCAGAAACACTCATAGCATTTGGAAGGTCTTGCTTATTGGCAAACACCAGTAATGTGGCATCACGAAGTTCATCCTGCGATAACGCATTGTTTTTCAGCATCGTTGCGCTTCCATTTTCTTTCTGATTTTTGAAGGAAGGATTATAACGTACGTACATACATACATACATATATATATATCAAGGGAGTTATATTGGACTGCTGATAAATGGGTACTTTCTAAGATTCTAAGATGTCACTGACCTCACTCAGCATCCTATGGAGCTCGTCCCTGGCTTCAGCAATTCTTTCTCTGTCGTTACTATCTACTACAAAGATGAGGCCTTGTGTATTCTGAAAGTAATGCCTCCACAATGGTCGAATCTACACCCAAAATCGGTTCAGTGCTCTCTACAAATATCTTATCCATAACATCTTCTGATTATTTTCATCATACAACAATCAGTCGTCGGAACTAGATCAAACTAACAACACAGATCAAACACTCAACCAAGATAGATTGTTAGAACTTCAGAGCTAATAAATTCTGATTGAGCCAAGTAATAAAGTGTACCTGTCCTGTCCTCCCACATCCCACACGGTGAAGCTCACATTTTTGTATTCAACAGTCTCCACGTTGAAGCCTGGTTTGTCCATCAAAGAAATCCAACATCGTATTTCAATATCCAAAAAATAATAATAATAATTGCAAGTTAGAGCATGGTGGGGTACGGGTACCTATAGTGGGAATGGTGGTGACGATTTCTCCAAGTTTCAGTTTATAAAGTATCGTTGTTTTCCCAGCCGCATCCAGGCCCACCATAAGAATCCTCATTTCTTTCTTTGAGTAAAACAATCTAAATAGCCTCGATATTGTCAAACCCATTTTTGCCTCTGCTTCGAACAAAATTTCAATTAATATCACGAGCACCTCAGAGATCAAAACTTAGGGATAAAACAGTATGTTCTAAGAATTCTTATCATGCAATCTTCTTAGAAATTGGAGAGCAGAATAATATTTATTTGGGAATAATTGTCAACAAATGAGAAATAAATCGAAATTGTGCATTACTTTGCTGTTCTTTTCTGAGAATGCTAGAGATGGCCTTTAGAAGATTTATTCATCAGGTAAAGAACTTGGTCAGCAAGGTAAGATCAATGGTCAAAATAACTTATTCGATGGCCAAGCAAATCCAATGGTAACTTGGTAGCTAGGAAAACTTAATCATCAAAGTAAATTTCTTTGATTGCAAGTAGGCAAGAAAGCCACTTCAGAAAGAGAGAAAATAGTATACCTGTGCAGAAGATCGAGAGGAAAATAGAACAGACTCTCTTTAGAAGCAGAGGAAGGCAAACTCCAAGTAGTTGTTGGCCTATTATTAGAACCACATGACAAGACAAGTGCACCATACTATAGGCAGAAGAAAAAACAAATAAAAAAAGAGAGAGAATATGATTCGATGAAGATTTTTGAAAGAAGGAAAATGGTAATTTTGAGTGGAGGGCATTTGTGAATAGAAAAGAAATTCGAAGGCATAGATACTGAAAGGGAATGGGTGAGATTCGGATGCAAGTTGGGCACATAAGAGGATTG